AAATCATCTTACCCCGGTGTGTCATGTTGGAGGCAGCCAGTCTAATTGCCCGTCCAACCCATCTGATTGCTCGTCAGGAAAATGCATACAAATGCGCAAACTAACTTCCTCCTTTTCCTCCTAAACATGTCATAAAATGATATTATAAGTTTCCCCGTTATTTATAAGTAGTGTTTAGGCTGCAAACCGCAATGTTCTATGTATTATGGTAGAGATAAATGCAACAATCTAAATCTGAATATTCCAATGTTTTCATGGTTAAAATGTTTCCTTGCATCCATTTTGTTAAACTGTTATGTAGACCAATAAATAGTAATTAAGTTAGCTCCTGTTTTCTAATAAATGGTTAGATACCAAAAAAAGCTTAAAAACTATTGTACCTACTAATGCCAAGCAAAAATACTTCCTTATTCTGGCTTAAGCCTAGAAACTCATTGGCACTTGTTTTTAGCTAAGAAGTGTACGAATGATAATACTAAAATATTAGAACATCACTTCGGCCACATATTTACATGCTCCTTACTGCCTAGGTCAACAATCAAAGATTGCATGATAAACTCTACAACTAAAGTAATTACACTACCTGAACTGAGAAAAGGAGGACATTTCGAATGATTTATTCATTTGCTTATAAATTGGACCTGGTTTAGATAGGTTTGAATTGCAAGAAAATTCGCAATTGCTCCAAAGGTAATAAGGAATGCGTTGACTTATTTTAATGAATATCCGCAACTTTTTTGAACATATAAATTCACTTGACGCCTTAATGCAAGTTTAGTTTTTCGGTAAGCCCTAAGGAATTAGGGATCTACGTGAAAGATAAATAGGTTAGATCAATTCATAACAAAATTACATGGATGCAAAATGTTTTCTTTGGATCTAATTATTCCTTTAAACAGTCCTCATTGCAGCCAAATTCATTTTCTGACGACACACAAGCTTGTGACTTTCACTTTATGAGAAGTTTTGTGTGCACCGACAAAACATCCTGCATTTGTCGCCCAACTTTCTATTATTTTCATTTGGTATGGGTGTCTAACCCTAGCACATGACAATTGTCACCACTTCAAGAACAGTCTACAAGGTAGTGTCGCCATTTAATCCTAGAATAGAAAATCCAGGCCTCTTAAGCATGGGTTTTGCCATATGAGGATCCACATTTTTATAAGACTAAGCGTATGGCTATCTTTTGACTAGTTTGATGGTCTTGTTCCCTTCAGGAATGAGTTTTTATGCATCAAATAATGACGTGCAAATATTTCGTGGTCATACAGCATAAATGATTGCGATTTGTAAAAGTAAAGAGACAAAAAGAAGCAGGATTTCATGTCAACAGTACGGATACCAAACCGCGACAATTTTTTAAGGGGCTGGATACGATATAAGCAATCTGAAATAATATGACCCTACCTCAGTGAATGGAGGTTGACTTGACGTGCGTCCTCGGAATCCCGAATAATTTTGTCTCTGCTTCAAAAATTACAGTGGCAAGCGAGGGAGTAAAAATGAACGTAAGACGGGGGTGAAGGTTACAAGACGATCTTACCTTGACTTTCTCGACTTCATAGCTTCAGTTTTCACAAAATTAATAGACATGTTTTATAAGGAAGATGTGGGAAATATTGTCTATGATTTGGAACTGTTTAGCAGTAAACCAATTAGTACAATACCTGTGTTAGTCTGCAATTTCAAATGGCGTCTTTTACCTCTTCTTCATTACGACTTTACTATCATCTCGATATACTTTTGTGCAAAAATAACACGTTAAAGTCCAAGAGCCTTAACAGCTAGTTTGAAATGATGTCAAGATATCTTCTTTTATTTATTGCCATATTTCTTCAAACTAATTTATTCCTAATATGGTTTCATCGTGGTGGTTTCATTTGCAATTTTTCATAACCACCTTCTATTAACTTACATCCAGATGTGCATCGTCGATGAATCATATGTTTTTGGGAAATCCTAATTGCCTAAAATTTGAGTAAAATAGCTTTCCTTATTTAACCTTTCTCCCCTGTAGGGCTGAAAAATTTTAAAACTAATTTATGATGACAGGCCAATTAAAGAGGTGACTGGCGATGTCCATGGGCTCCTAATAGCACCGACAACTCCCTTTGATATTCTTCGCAGTACTTAGGTAATTAGCTTCGGAGCCATCTCATTTATTGCCAATCAGGTGGGCTGATTGGTAGGTGGGCAGGTGGGAGGGCAAGTTGGGTGATTAATAGCCCAACTAAGATGCCCGCAAAAAATACAATTAGAAGTCAACTGTTTTAGTTGTTTTGAAGGGCAAATTTGTTTTGTTCATCTTAAAATAAAGTAAATAAACATGGCAACATTCTGGGCAAAGTTTTGATGGGAAATGGCAAAGCTAAATCCCATTTATGTTAGATTTTTCAGAATGAGTAAAGATGGATTAAGCGCCGCAATAATCAGTCCTTAATTTACTTTATATTTCCACACCTCAAAAAGTATATCTTAGTAGTTTTAAATTTAGCTGAAGTCAGTTTTTCTTCTAAATATTAAAAAATGGGCAAAAATATCAAAGAAAGAGCATTTTGAATGCAATTTTTTATCGCTATTCCTTTAATCTTGCCCCAAAAAATGAGTTTTGAAATATTTACTGTTGACAACTTTTGGAAAATGTATACTTTACATTTTTCTGAACTTGACAGTTTTAGTAGTTGTAGATCCAATTTATCATCTCTGCTCAAATCTAAATAACCTAACATGCATGCCGCCAAAGCCAGTAAAGTGCATTTTGTTATCAAAGCGAAATATTTCTATCGCAGCATTCGATACGATTTATCCCCACCAGACTTAAAATTCAATTATATTCTTTGGTGTCAAGTTAAATCCAAAGCAGTCAGAGTTCAAGAAATCATCTTACTGCAGTTAATCTAGAATTGATACAAAATTATACTCTGCCTCTAGCGCAAAGAACATCATTTTGTTTGCAACTGTCTTGAAGGATAGAAGTTATATTGATAGTTATCCTTTGGGGAAAATGAAATTAATGTAAACGAGTTTCAAAAATGACTTAATACTTTGAAAGATTTGATTCGAGGCACTCAAATATACTAAATGAATTATAAGGAAAAACAACAAAACTATAGGTGAATGTCAAATGGATTTGATGCACGATTTTGGTGTGTTAAATGACATTAGGCAATTAGTTGAAGCCTACCAATATGAAATATTACGTTTGTGGAGAAAACGGTTTAATGACCTTTGTGAGAAGCGATTTGAAGGATAAGTTTTCAGTGTTCATTCTAGTGGCGGTAGCATTAACCAAATATGAATGTCGTGAATGAAAGTGGAAAATATGGCCAAAAAATTCTTGGTCATGGAGTATAAAGTATAATTTTAATGACTTCTCTTTTTTTCATGGTACTTATTTTTTATCAGAAGTATCTTTGTTCAAGCGACTTATTTTATTTGAAACTTGTTTCTTATTTGCCTTGCAAGGGCGACCTGCATTAATTTGCAGATTACATAATTTGTGCCAATTTTGTAGTGCACTTAAAGTAAAAATGCTTTAATAAACGCCGTCATAGTCTCAACGTTGTGCTCAAATCACAAAGTAATGTTACACATGCTTATCTGGAGAGTCTTTTTAGATGACATGCTGCCCAATCATACCATCCTCATGGCCGAGTGGAATCCGCTGGTTTCCGGAAGGAAGCGAACACCAGACTTCCATAAAATGCCAACAATCTATGACATCAAATGCCTTCCTCTAATCACTTTTTTCCGGTTTCAATTTGAACGGGTTAAAATGATATGCTTTAGCTATTATAATATTTTACTTATCCAAGAACACAGACTTTGCGCACTTTTTCCAGACGTTAATTTTTTATATCAATCAAAGTCTATATTTGATGCATTAATCCAACTTTTAACGCAATCACTATGAAAATGCAGATTTATTATGCATCCACTCTAGGTTAGTTGCAGAGGCTCCTACATAGTAGCCTTATCTGCGTATTAAAATTTACGTAACTGCTGACTAAATTCAAAAGCTTATTAGCCGTTAAACTTAACTACACATACATTTTCTACAATCTCATTAACTTACAGCACAGCATAAGCATTTGAAAAAATTTGTGACAATTTTTGAAGGGGTGCAGCTTAATTTTACCTAGTCATGAGAAAGCCTTGACCGAAATAAGTTTGGATTTAAAAGCTATTAGATTTTAGAGTTACAGACTTATCACCTTCCTATAGAGGCACCACTTTTCATATTAAGAGTTGTTTCCAACATCGACCTTTAATTATCCTCACGGCTTCACTTGTTCTAAGACAAACTGATCAACTGAAAAATTCCTTGCATCAATCACACAAATAAGTGCCAGCTTATAAAATTTGGCTATAAAATCAGAATTTAGACATCTGCATTGTAGTGAAGTTTCAGTTTTCTTACGGCGCGAAAATTTTGCCCACTATTCACTGATAATTCCATAGGCTGTTTGATCTACCCACCTCTGTATCATATACCTCTACTAGACCAGGCTTAGTAAAATATTCAAAGCCAGAACTGTTGGGTTGTATGTATTATTATTATATGGGGTTCATAGATTTTACAATGCACAGTGTACGTTTGGCACATAAATTGGCTGACTTGTCTCCTAGGAAATTGTAATGCTTAAAAACTGTGCCGTATGATAACCAAACATTTTGAGAAATCAGCATTATGAGGAATGACATTAAATTCCGTTTCTACGGTGAAATGCCAAATGAAATTTCACAGGATTGCTTTGAAACATTATGCAATCCTACATCGTCTTGTAACTTCAATAATATGTTTCCAATAGCTATTTGAGTAAGCTTGAGTGACCCTGTAAACAGTTTCTTTCTTGCATAACCTTAAGCTGTATCTAGTCCTATTGATCAGCAATTGTTCTGCCCATGGTAAGAAACTCATTTAGAGTAAACTTTACTGTATTTCACCTCACGCGGAAATTCCTGACCCTCTGGAAAGATAGTGTAGCAGACTGCTTGAAAGTAACCAACGGCAATGACCTGATACAAATTAGCTGGTCAGCGTTTTTCAAAACAAACGTGAGAGGAGGGAAAAACAAAGATTGATGCTCGGTTGCAACCCATTGCCATCAATTAATGCATGGGCTTTGAAAGCTTTTTTATTTCTTGGTTTCTGCAAAGCCTAAACTTCCCAAAAGATATAGATATAAGAAGTGCTTCACCACAGACGTTAAGCTGGACATAGCTAAGTATTATTCCTAGCGCCTTAATATTCAAACTTCATTCATTCAAAGTTATGCAGAAATTTGAAAAAAATTCTCCTGTTTATCTAGACCCACTTTAAAGTAGTTTCAAAAGGCAGGTTGTATTGCTCTATATCCAAGCAAAATTTGATTGTATTAGTTTGAAGAATGAGAAAAACAGTTGATTGAACTGCAGAGTTCTGTACTAAGTGACTAATACGCATATCTATGCTCCAAAGAGCATTCGCATAAGCAATCGTCTGTATTTCTTAAGGTTCTACAAGTTTGGTGTTAATTGTTTCCCCTAAATTGAGGAGTTCTTCATATTAGATAAGTATGGTTAATTTTTTGACAGATGATTACTTACACCAAGTGAAATGAAATTGGTAAATTTTGCTCTTTGCTTCTTCCATCGTTGAGTCGCAATTCCAGTCAAGCAAAATTTTAAAGCTTAAACAGAAGATTGAAAATAAATAGCAAATTGGGAGAATGCAAGCAAATTTATTGGGGTTAAACATAATAATTTTTTAGGCTGCGCAGGTAGATCATTTTTAATCAAAGTTGGAAGGACTGGAACACTGGACAGCTGTAATGAAACACATAGAACCTTGGACCATATGTGATGTTGACTGGATAAATGACAGGCGTTGGTGACCACGAAAACCATTTTTTTATTTTGCTATATCATTTTCCATTCGTGCTAAATTCCAGATGTTTAATTAGGAAATATTCTAGTGCTGAAAGTTTACTCTAAAAATAGCCAAATGACCTGAATCCCTTTAGTAATTTGAGATATAACAACTATACTTATTCTTTAGACTTCTTATAGGGCCTTCTTAAGACAGTTCCGTAGTGTTGCAATTTGTTAGGAAAAAAACGACAGTGGGTACTGGTGGAGTTAGTAACTACAATTATCATCATTTTGTTATAATTGTACCTTTAAATACCGAAGATTCGAAAATCATATGTGAGACTAATTTGCAGCTTAGTGTTTACTAGGAAAAATAATCAAAAATGACGTCCCCCACTTGGCAAAACATAAACCTGATAATAATTGCATTCTGGATGTGATATTATGGGATTTAAATGCCCCTCTTGAAGGACTAAGCATCATCTATCATTCCACATACATGCCTACTTTACAAGTAAAATAATACAGGTGCATTTATGTATGAAGGAGAATATGTGGGATGTATTTAAGCCAAACAACAGACGCTAACAGTGGCCAAGCTTTGACACTGGTAGTTAGCCAGGCGCTGGCCCGGTGATGGCAAACACATCATGCAGGCCTGTCAAGGTTGAAATCTTAGTCATCAAAGGCATCCTCACATGCCACTTTGGCCAAACACGTGTGCCACAAAGTGCAACATGAATGAATAGGGCTAGTTTATCTTTATTTTTATTAATTTATGACCTTTAATTTTTTAAGTATGGTTTCCTAAAGAAGCGATGTGTCCAGCTTCCAGCACACAAAATGAGACAATCCGAAAACACTTCTAAAACTTTGCTTAGTAATAGGCACTACTTTACTAACATTTTATCTAATCAAAATTGAAAATGCTAATCAAGTCCGTGAAAAAAATATTCATTTTTTTCGACTTCGTCACGCAACAGGTTATTCATAGATGCTGCAGCCATGGTTATATGAGTTTAACGAAATGGCGTAATATTCACAGAAATAACAACCAACTCCATCTATATGCGTTGCAAATAAGTGTACTACTAGTTATCTTTGGAATAAATTCTTGGATCAGATACCTCAATGCAGACAGGCAAATCATCACTAGAGCGTCTTCAGAATATTGTATGGCTGTTGATGTCTACGGACTTTACTTGGATTAGTTGCCCACCTGTTTCATCGTGGTTTTCATGTTGATTAAAACTGCTCGGACTAACCATAATATACATGAGACGATTACTGGTAAAGGGATGCCTATGACACTTGCTGCAGCAGTGCACCTTCCATGTCCGATAATGAAGAGCTCAGGTTCGACTTGAACGCGCCTTGTGTACTCTTATAGCTGTTGGTAGTTGCATGTTTAACTTACAGCAAAAGGGCTGTTTTATTGAGTTAAAATTTTTTCAAGGAAATGAAACTTTTCGCTTATGATTTGGTGGTAATTTCTTTTCTTTATAAATTTTTTTAATTCTAACAGCTCACATGTGTTAAGATTGCACTAAGTGTAGCCTCAAGCGTCGGGTCTTGTTGTTTAAACACGTGTAGAAATTCTGTACTTTAGGTTGATTAAAGTCAATTTACCCTTGATTATTTTCCATTGGCTGTTTTTAAAAACATAAAGCCAAAAATTGTAAGGACAAATTCCATTCTGACCTTTTTGTAATTAACTTCAAGCAATCATAGCAGGTTCTTCTTTCAACAACGTTTTGGATTAGACTCCTCTTGGAGGGGGCTCACTTATTGCTGTTACCAGCGTGGCTTCCCCAGTCCTCCATTAGTTCACAAAAGTTCATGCAAGTTTAAGGAATATTTATTAACGCACAGAAGCAATGAGAGGTTGTAACCAAAGACCCGAAAGCTCTGCCTACTTAAATGAAAGCTATAACTTGAGTAGTAAGTTTCGCAACCAAATACCTCACCTTCCCCAAGTTTTATACGGCAAATGCAAAACAAAGCACCAGCAGCTTTGAACTCAAGCCAAAACGCAGACATACCAGAAGCATGTCAGTTTAAACCGCTACCTAACGATGCAATGGCTTAAAATAAGAGAAAAATACTGAATCGTACAGTGAGGAAATCCACATAGATTTAGATATAGATAGGCTTTACGGAAGATGCTAACAATCGTGTGTCATTTCTAAGTTATTGCAACCTAGAAATTACTACACTTCTCAACACCTAACTGCAGCGATGGCTGCAGGGGCTGATATGCATGCACTTTGTTGGCAGGTTGATGGCTTAAACCGAAGAACCCTCTTTTTTCTAATATTCTTCCTCGATTATTACATCATTTCAACGACAAATGAACTTTTCTTCCCAGTATTAAAAAGGGGTCCTGTTTTTATAGCCAATAAAAGGACTTGTGTGGAGCTATTACCACTGACGACATTTCGCGGTTATCAGGGCTACTCCTAAATTAAGTCTGGATGGGCAGCTTTAAAAGGAAAATAAGGACTTTCTGGGAGAAAACATGGGTATCATAAACTTGGTAACTGTACTATTGGATCATCCTAATTTTTACTTCATTTACGCAGCATACTTTTGGAAGTGGAATAACTGTTAGGAATGATGGATAAAGAAGTTGTTCTACGTCCTTTTTCCACTGCTTCAGTAAAACCTTACTACTATGCAATTTCAGACTTTCAGTGTTAAATGCACAAATAACGCTCATTTTTTTGTTTGTAGTCAGTTCTACCCACCATAAAGTGTCGATATTCTTTAAAAAGATTAAACCGAAAAGGCAGTGTAGAAGTGTGACTTCTTTCCTGTGTATCGCGTTGACAGTGCATGCCAAAATCTGTCTTACTAAACTAAAGTTACAGACTGATGGATTTTCCAACTTCTTAAACAGCAGACTAAGTGCTTATCTGGCAGAATTACTCATCACAGACATTTTCTGCTAGTTGGCGTTAGGCAAAAATGCACACGTGAGGGGATTTTAATTCTTGATTTGTCACAGCTATATATTTCGCTGATATGACTTTGACAAGTGAGATGTGGAGTAAGTGCGTGATAGAAATGATTAACACCCAGAAATTCATTAGGCAACTTTGAAAATTAGATTTGCATTTAGATTTATTTTGCTAATAACTGCGAGTAAGATAAAGTAAGGCAGAATAAAAATGTTCATCTAAAAAGAGATTTGCTGGAGTCCATCATTCGAAGTGCGCAATATTGTACTTTCGTCCCATTCAGCTTTGGGAGAGGTTGTATTTTAGTTGGACGAAACTTCAGTAGCGGTAATTGAAATCATTTGGTAAGAAATGCTGTGTGTATTCATGTGTCAATTAAATCTAAAAAACGCCTAAATAACCTAGCCATAAATAATTGTCTGAAAATGGGGGATTAAGTTAGAAAAAATTCGACCTATATTAATGTCGTAATTGTTATGAATGCAGACTCTTCACTCTCTATGGTGTGGTCACCATCTTGATGTCGTAACATTGAGTTCAAGCCTAAATCCTACCCTTTCTTCCGTACTCTAGTAATTCCACGTTGTCCAAGGTGACGTTCCTTACTGCTCACTTGAAGATGGCTTGAGGGGCTACGCCTGCGGTGGTGTTCAAATTACCCAACCCAGAGAAGCCAAAGACTGTAAATACTTCATCTATAATCCTCACTCACAGAAAGCAGACCCCCTGAAGAGCGACTGAATCTGTGCAAAATTAAAACGACAACTTTGGCAATCCGGGCCCTACACTAATGGCCATCAAATAGCGCGAGACCAAATGGGAAGGATTGTAAAATATCCATTATAGAGACGATTATGGATTTCTTTATTAACACAGTAACTTAGTCCACGAGCACATACCTTACACATATATTGCCTGTTATTCAAGACTTGTAAAAATTCATAGCTTTTAATTATTAGCAATCTTCTTTTGCTGCTAGTTTACTCTATTTGGCAATTTGTCAAGGCTTGGAGGAAGATTAATAGGTTTCAAAACAGTAACTGATCAAAAAAAGCACTGAAAACTTTACCGAATGAAACAGATGTGAGCAACATAATAAAATAGCTCTAAATTTCAGAACAGTGTAATAAGATATTTGGAAACTACGCTTTTAAAGGACAGTGCAGCAATTGGACAGATTTCTATGGCTCAGTTTTCGTGCCTGTAATGGGTTATATGATTAGGATTTTATGTAAAACACTCGTATAAAATTCCGAGATTGGTCTGCTGTTTTAAGCCCTTTTTAATGAACCACTATAAAAGCGGCTTTTCTGTCACCGCACAGAAGAGCTGAGGGACGACAAGCAACAGAGGAGTGTCGGATTAGATATGAACATAAATGGTTGGGAGGCTGAGTCCCCAATGACTATATAGATGATGCGCCAACTTCCGTTTACAATCTTAGCCTCCTAAATAAAAAAAAGAAAATTAAAACGATTTGGTTTAGCGTTCCTCTTTCCTTTCTAAGTGAGGCCTATTTTGTTTCTTTAAAAAGGGGTTCCTTAAATGTGCAGGGTTTTTTTTATACACAACTACCAATTTTTAAATTCGACTTTGCTGTCTTTAGTACCTGAAAAATCACAACAGCTACAAATTCTGAGTTACACTACTTGAAAATTTACGAGTGTATTACCCGTAAACTAGGGCACTAATTGCAAAGACCAGGCACTTAAATTTAATCACCGACGTGGAAAGTGAAAGGCCCATGCAGTTACCCAGAGTAGTTCAACCGCTACTGGTGTGAAAGTTGACTGATTATCAGCTCACGAAAGAACTAAAATGTCTGCGGCACAGTAGTGGCAAAACGTGGACTTAATATCATTGTTATGATAATAGGTAGGTTTAAAGCCGTTAAGGTCTACACGGTCAGGTATAAAGCTCACACCAATTTGTATCCACGATGCAAACAGAATCACCTCCACTTATTAAATAATGAAACTTTTGCAACTGTGGATGCCTTTGCGAATTGTCGCATCTTATAAAATATTTATAATCCAAATCTACAACCCTCTTAACCTTAAGTCAAAAGCTACTCCAAGCTTTGCTTTTATGCAAATTTCTCCGCTTGATTGCAAGTACCTAGGCTCTATGGCTTCCATTTCTGTCATGTTTTTATTTGTAAGCAAGGTAAAAGATGCAGTAGTCATCACTAGAAGAAATATAGTTAAATAAGTGGAAATAGTGAGACACATTTTCATCTAATCTAAAATAGAAAATAAGATACTTGTACGATTATTCAAGTACAATTTATCGTGAGAATGGGATTTTTGTCTCATTAAGCGATTTTTCTTCGAAAAGTTAAGCTTGACAAAAGGCCTCTGAAGATTTATAACCAAATTGCAATCGGCTCGTAACGCAGAAAGCCATAAGTCAGGTCAAGTTTGATCGACTTTTGGCGTTTGGAGATTTTAAAATAGGACAAGGGAAAAACAACTGCAGGTAAAAATGTTACCACACTGACAAATTGACACGTCCACACCTTGTAGTACATTAAACGCGTTTGGTGCATTTCCACAAGTAGTTGTAACAAGTCGGTGGAGCAAATTTTCCCACGATCACATGGACTTTTGACGACCGGTTATTACAATGTAATTTTAAAAGACCATTAAAGGACGCACTACGGAAGTACAAAAGCTGCCCATTGAAGGGTAATAATCCACAAATGTATGAATTTGTTCCGTGCATCTCAATAACATTGTAGCAAAATTTTAAATCTTCCGGTAGTTAGATGAACAGTCCTTTGCACTTAAAAAGTGCAGTCTTAATGATTGCTCTCACTTACATTGTCAACTAAATTTGCCAGGTGATGAAAACTCCTAAATTATGCTATCCCACTGTTCCATACCTGGCCCATCTGGTGTGTTCATGCATGACCCCAACAGCTTTGTCTTTCATTTTTGAGGACAAAATGTGGTAAACCAATTAATTCATTTACCTATGTGTCACGCGAAAGTAAAGTAACCAACTTAATGAATGTAGCATTTTGTAAGAAAGTGCCTGGTTGACGTTCCGCTTTATAAATGCAAAGAATGTGTGAATGTTTAGCCGAAATCTCAATGATTCATAGCAAAAGTAATAAATGAATAAACGCAGGTGGACAAAATTAGCGCAACAATAAATATATTTGAGAAGTTTTATTCTACCCTATCGTGCCCTTCTTCAAATGAAAAGAAAAAAGACCCCATCAGACAGTAATTTTCATGGGTCCAAAACTAGTGCATGGAATTATAACAATAAAGCAAAAACTGCAGTTTACCGCCAGCAAACGCCACTCGGAATACTTATTTTATTTAAGTGTGACTTTACTAATAAGTCAGATTAACTTTCAGGTAGATGTTCTGCCTTGGAACCTACCAAAGGAAACCTTATTTAGGTAGTATTGCCACTATACTAACGGCTTCTGCTATAATCCTGGTTTTTTTGTAAATAAGCAGTAGAGGTTTTGAAAGCTTTTTGCAATTCTAGAAGTCTAGATTGCACTTTTTGCCATAAAGACATTGAGAAGACTTCCCAACTGTCACAGACGTCAGGCAATTGTTAATTAAATAGCTGGACGCATGTTTTAGTTCAACTTCCGGGAGCTTTTAAAAAATTATTCTTGCTAATCTGTGTAGATCCATCAATTCAGATGGATTTGTTTATTTGATCATCCAAATATTCACGTCTTTGATGGAGGTCTAAAATTAGTCTAAGCTACACATTAGCCCATGCAATAAAACCAATGAAAAATAAGCGCCCTTCCTTAAGCTGATTTACTTGATTAGCTCTGTAGCTGATTAAAGTAGAGTTTGATCAGAATACAACATTAATAGTCCAAAAAGGTAATGCCGAGTCACCTCACTTTCCCACTTGGTGTTCAACCTACTCCAAGTTACAAATACCTAACAGAAATTAGGACAGGTTTTATTGCTCGGTGAAACACGGTGCGAACGCTTTAAACCATCCAAGAGGATTTCACATCTTTACGATTTCTCATCCTCCGCCTATTTTTTTTACTCTTATACCTATTAGCTCCTTTAAAAGTCGATACAAATTTGAATAGTTTAATAACTCAATACCGTCTCGTGACGGCATCGGTTTGGCGTTAACTCCAAGAGGTTGTG